CATGGGACGCTACAGGGAAGGGCCAGAGTTCTTTGAGGCAGGACCACCATCATAAAAAAACCTGCAGCTTGGTGATGAGAGCGTGCGGAAATCACGAAGCAAGTCACAGTATTTGGATAGACATGACACAGTAGAAATTTTGCTGTTTTGACAGTGATTTTTTCACAAGAGTTCTCAGAAACACTTGCGAAATTGGGAAGATCCTGTGGCAAGGCCGGTGCAAAGGGATCACCAGAGGTCCGGCGCACCGTTGAGGGGTTGAGGTTGAGAAATCGATGGTGAGACTTTGGGGTGGTATATTTTCAGACAAATTCAGACGCTCATGGATCCTATGGAAGGTGCTTTCTGGAGCACATTTCTGACTGGGCATGTGTGGGTATTAGCTGGAATAATTTGCACACTTTCTTGGGCCAAAGTCTGCGAACTTGAAGGAGGCATTGTTTATCGTGTTGCGCTGTGTTTGATGGGTGTGGAGACAGGGTGATTCAAATTTGACAAGCACATTTCCGGAAACTGGCTTACTCGAATTTCCGCCAAATCCAAGGCATTTGAATCTCTTGAAACAGACTATGTTTGTGTCCGTTCTCAAAGGGTTGGCCCCTTATGCTCGTACCCAAAGTGTTTGCACAGCTGAGGCCTTTTTGGTGGACAACAGTCAGTTGAAACTGGTCCGATTTTGGATGTAGCCGCTGTAGCCATTGGTTCAGCATCTAAACATTTGCAGCGAGTGGAACTTGGTGAAGCCATGTCTTTGGTCCCTGAGTTGGTGCCTGTCACATTTGTTTAAAAAGTTTTCTGGTGGTAAGAGAAAGATGGGCGGGAGGGGTTGTTCCATGTTGATTCCTGCGGTTGCAGACGAAAATTGAAGGCCAAGGAAACCGAAGGACATGGCCATTTCTTTCCATAAAGCAAGCGCATTTTGGGTGCCAAATGACTTGACCACCAGTATCCAATTAATCTGAGTCAATTTTCGCAGCTGGCTTGAGGAAAGCAGATGCTCGTGGCATTGCCTACCGCCAGAGCATGAGCCTTGTCTGCAAGGGACCGAGGAGACTGTCATAGATAGCACTTAGCACTAAAGCTGCTCCACTTTGCCACTGATGTGGCTCTTCATTGGTTTATGACGAAAAATTGGAGAGCTCAAGCGCGGCAAGCAAAGAAAGGATCAACTTGATTTCACCTTCGATGTTAGCGAGTGTGAGTCTGTCTCCAGACAAGCTGAAATTGGGTGTCTCAACACCAATTATATAACACCAAGCATGACCAATTTCTGAGTCCATCAGGGCCCTACTTGTGCCATCGCCGCAGTGACTGAACTTGCAACTCAGGAGCTTGAAAGACAAGGATCGAAGCTTGGCTGTGAACTGGGACCTAAAAGCCCGAACATGACTGGAATACTTTGTTGGATAGACTGTGAATACTTTGGGATATGAAACAAGGTTATGAGTTATTCTGGCCTTCCTTTTTGTGTATCAGATCCAGCCAAGAATTCGTTCTTTTTGTGTATCCAAGGACCCACTTGTGAACCAGCCAACTGCTCGTGGAATGTCTTTTTCAGCGTTTGGGTATTGAAGTTTCGCAATATTGGGAAGACAGATGATGCAAATCTTGGAAGTTGTTTGAGTTGGGTTCCAATATCGCAGGGAGAAGAATGAAAAGACCTTCGAGAAATTGCTGAGCCATGAACGTCTTTGGGTTGGTTTTCAAAATCCAAGGAAAGATCGCAGAGTTCGGATCTGTCACGGGCACCCAGATTTGTGGATGGCTTGTACCAGTGTAGATGTGCGGGAAAAAGTGCTTACGGAAGGGAGTCTTGTTCGGCCATTCCCTTGTGGACTTCTTCGGACGGGTTTTGTCTGAAATCCACTGGATCATCATTGCCTCCCTATCTAAAATAAATGCTATTTTGCTTCCCTTGTTAAAATGTCTATGAAGAAGGCATGTCTTGGCCATGATTCACATCTCGAGGTGGTCCATGGGACCCAAAGATGCAGCGAGGATGGGACGATGTGGCTGCAGGTGCAGAACTTGTACCTCCCAATGAAGGTGGAGATGGGGCAGGGCCAGGCGGAAGGTGGAGGATGAGCCAAAATGGATAAAAATACCTTCCCATCCCATTTTACTGGTTGGTTGATAGGGAGTACCACAATGGACTATGAAAATCAATGATAATGCTATTTTCAGTGGTTCAAACGAGGTTTTCCCATGTTTTCTTTGAATCAAATCCCAGATGAGACTGTCAGGGTTGGAACACCAGGTTGATGGTGTTGTTCCTATTTTTGTGACGTGTAAAAGACAAACTCTATAGTAGCCATTGGCTTACCTTTTTGTCAGATAAGAAAGTCGGCTTCGTCATTCAGATTTGATCCAAAAAAGAATGACACCAAGACGGGCTGTGTTTTTCATTACATGACGCATCATCATTGTCATTATTGTCATTATTGTCATTATAAATTATCCCATCCCGTTGCCATCATCATCCATACCCTGGCAGTTCCTCCAAGGTGGCCGACAAGGACATCCTGCTGCCGGTCTGGTGGGACCGGGCCCGCGCTTCCCACGCCCATGCTGCGCCCGAAGATCCCGTGCTACGCCACGTGAATCGTACCCGCGCCGCGTTGGCTACGCCGGCACCACAGCAAGAGGCCCGAAAATTCAGGATGCCCAGATCCCCCATAAAGTGACCATGGGAAAAGGAAAATGGTATTACCATCTGGAATCCTGAAATTATGAAGAGGTTTGAAACCCTGTACCTTTCAGTCCATGTTCCAAGCTGTGAAAGTTCTTCTGGGTCCAAGTAAGGATTATCAAGAGTAAAATGGTTTGTTTTTTTATGTTTTTTGGTCCATGATGGATTTTGTGGGTCCATCAAGGCACTGACCTCGCGCATTCAGGTGGAGACAGAGACCTTTGACAGCCCACCAGAAGCGACTGGGCTCCGGTTGAAATGATGTGTTTGTCTTTACATGATTACAATTGATTACATACATTTAAATTTAGATCATTTACAAACTTTAAGCCCTTTTTGACACTTTTCGTTATCATTCGTTGTCCCTAAGAAAGAGCAGCTTGGTGGTGATCACTGGGACACGCCGAGGTGAGGCCTTTGATTCCTGGCACAGGTTGCCTCTATGAGGCGAGGTTACGAGGTTGTCGGTCGATCTGCAGCTGCCCTCAGGGCAAAATACAGATAAACAACACAAGAGCCAACTTTCCCATCAAAATATTCTCGAATTTAGAAATTTATTCTTATTTAAATTCCAAGGGTAAATAAATGAAAACCAAGTAGGGAAATGGTAGCCAATATGTCAGGCAAAATATTAATAGGAACATAGGCGAGGTAAGAGAGGCAGAATTATATATAATATAACATATCACAATGACATCCCAGTCCCCAGTATGTTGAAAATAGCTGGGGTCTGATCGGTCTTATGAGCAGCGTTTGATAAAATATCCAACCGACTTACCTTTTGCAGCCAAGAAACACCCAACCCTTCTCCAACACCTTCTCGGGAGTGATGACTTCAACACGACCAAAGCACCTGCATTCAATTCCATAAGTGAGAATAGCACATCAAGAGCTGCTTGGCGCACAAGGGAGCCTTCTACATTCCAACTATCTTTGCCTCTTTGCCCAGCCTGGTGGAGTTGTAGCCAAGGACTTCCAAGAGTTGATGCTGTCGCACGTTTCCCAATTTGGCCGCTGACATCTTCGGCTCCTCGAAAACAGGTGCCTTAGCTGAAAGCAACCCACACATCATCTTCACGTTCGTGCCTTGTCTTGATTTGTGATCGGATTGAGGAGCTACTTTCAAGCACAAAACTGGGGCACTCTAAGATGCGCAGCCACTGGTAAAGACAATTTTGCTGCGCAAATTCTTTTTGCTATGCAGGGAATTCTCACCGAGATACGGTCTGTTGAACTCTGAAGAGCACTCCTTGCAGAAGCTTGGGTTCCACTTTGTGGGGAGATTCCAGCCACGGTTCCCCATTTTCATCCTCAACGGTGATGTCCTTGCTGAGGCCGTGGGCATGACACCGATACATTGCATGCATTGCACCCGTGATGGAGGGAGCGATCGACCAAGCTTAGGTGAATGTGGGGTGTCTTTTAATATCACTGCTGTGGTTGAATTTCAAGATGTTCCAACCAATCTCAAAAACATTAAGGATTATTATCCAAAGCAAGATCAAAAATGTCACCTATCTAATAAGACTACCAACCATCACAACACACCTGCAACCTGCCTCTCTCGCTGGCTGCGCTGCTGGAGCTTGGCTCACGGAGACGTTGGGAGTGGCTTTGGCTGGATGCTTCACCTTGCATCGTGGTAGTGGGGATCCTCCGGCTGCCACAGACATATAGTCACCATCCTTGGAGGATTCTCCCACTTCATAAGTGGGGTTAAAACATGTTAAAACCGACTTATGAATGAGATAAAACCAGCTAAGGGCTCTACCAACCAGTACCAAATGAGATGATCCTCCAAGTAAGGTGCCGTGACCATGATTGGGCACCACAATAACAGCCCTGTACTACACCGCCAGGACAAAAGTTTTGAAGTTGCTACATATTTTTCTTTCTTGGGTCGTGGACGACGAACCATCACATTCGTAACCCTTGAAAGAATTTTAATTAAAAACGACTAGTAACGAGTAAATTCGATCCACCACGCAGGCCACGCGAACTGGCCCTCAGAATCACAACGTTGATCCACAAAGAGATATACATTGCCTTGTTCTGAAAAGCGGATGGGAAAAACTTTCGTCCCAGTGAAGTGTGCTTGATGATTGGGGCCTATTGTTGTGGATCCCAGATTGAAACAGGCCTGAGCCTGCAGTGCTTGCACGCGACGTGGGATGCTCTTTGCCTGACGGGGAGTTGGCTACCACAACAAAGTTGCCATGGATTGGAAGACTCCGCACAACCCACGAAAGCACTTGTACTCCTTTTCATACCGAAGTATTGTAAGTTGGGGGCCCAGTGCCACTTCAGGCTGCTCACGGAACAATGAATGGAACTAATGATCAAAACAAATATGCAGATTTCTATGCACACAGCTGGTATATATGCAGATTTCTCTATAACGTGGAGCAGTTGTGTGCCCCCAATGAAACACCCTCGTCAACCTGAGCGGACCGTCGCGCCTCCGGCGTCTCTGGCAATGCTGCGATTTCATCGAAGGCGATCAGAAGTTGCGTGGTCCCACTCTCGGGGTTCTGGAGAGAATTCCTTGGTGTGGAGATGTCCTAAGACTGTTTGAGACATCTGCCAAACGTGCGGACGTTTGGAAACCAATCAGCTGTGATATGCCAAGATGCATGTAAAAGGAGAAGAACATATGATTTATACATGGACATATATATATATTATCATCATCATTTCACTCGTGTCTTCTTAACTGTGGTGCTCGTCCTGTGAATAAAACAAAATATTGCGACAAGTCAAGTGAAAACCAAGAAATTACTGTTCTGTCTGGCTATTGTTTTTTGGGCATCTCGGGACCTCCACCAAGTGTCAAGAGCTCGCTGGCAGCTGTATCACCTGCATGAATCTGTTCAGCGTGATGCCATCGGTGGATTCTAACACGGAAGGTTTGTCGGAGCATCTGAACATAGGGGAAGTTCTCATCCCCAGTGAGACTTGCATTTATTGTTGGTCCAAGTGAATTCATCTTTTGGGCAGCATGAGCCACGGCAGGCTGCAACCCCGTGCCATCCGCACAGCAGCGCCTGCAAGAGAAGCGGCAGTTTTGACTTCAGCTGTCTTTCTTTCATTCCTCAAAGCAACTGGCGAGGGGAAGAATCATGGGTACAACCACATGACTAGTGGTTGGGCAACTTGAACCCACAGGCATATAACAAAAACTAGCCAGCTGTCTTCAATTTTGCATTGAAGGTGTTGGCGTTGAAGCCAGAAGTAGAAGCCAGAAGTAGAAAAATCCAAGGTGCAGCTTGGCCAACTGCTCCTTGATGTCATGTGCTCGTTGGAAGTCCTGCGCGGAAGCCAGGCCCGCTTCAATTTTGTCCCCCATCAAGCCTCATGTCCTGGAATCCATGGGTCAAGAAAAATCTTGTGAGCATTCCTGTTGAGCAAATCACAATGAACATGATCATCTTGTTGGTGGGTTCAACTTGATTCAACCGGCATGTTGCATCATCCCAAGTTGACGGAAAAGCAGCAATATTGGACACCTAAAATCCAATAGTTTAAACAAAATCATCGTCATGATTCAATGGCAATGAAATGAGGTACCCTTCTTGGACAAGCTAAAATACCATCTTGATTAAATATCTCCGTAGCATATACCATTATCCCCCCGTATTCTTAGTCTTGTGCCCTCGTTTTTGTTAGGGTAAGCCCCTCATTTTGGACAAAGAGATGGCTGGGGTTTGAAACCGTACAATAATATCCAAAAAGACATAGCATGTGTGGTTTTCCAATATTTCAGTAAGTTTTTGCGTTTCTTTCTTTTTGGAGATTACTATAAACTATAACTGTTCTTCGTAGGTGAAACTATAGCCGCTATAGCCTTTATCTTCACAGCAACACGGTGCCGCATTTCCTCGTTCTCCACCGCACGACGCTTCTCATCTTCAAGCTGCGCAATCTCGTCGAAGGAGACAGCGTCCTGCCAGCAAGGCCTATCCTGTGATTTGTTTTTTCGGAACCAATGGCCAGCCACGTTTTGGTTGTAGATGGTTTTTCACATAGATACCCTGCAACCAAGCTCGCTTTCAGCAGGATACAGGATTCTTCGATGGGAAAAGTGGCCATGAAGCAACCAACACGCGAGGACACTGCACTCCTGCTCTTTGTCTAAAATATAACTACGTAATATAACCCACAAGAACTTACAATTCAACAATATTCACCCAATAATCCTTCTAATGGTTTAAGCCATATTTTTGCCCGGTTCACACCGCATGTCACGGCCAATTTTTAAAGATCCGGCAACAAAAAGACTCCAAATGGCCAATCGGCATCCCCATTGATGGCGACAGATTAGAAGAATATCACGCCCTGTCCGCAGTTGATCCAATATGAGGATATATGGGGGACATGGGGATTTTTTAGCCCTTGGCACAGCCTTGGCACAGCCTTGGCACAGCCTTGGCACAGCCTTGGAATCTTGGTGATGTGCTGCTTCCAACCCTAGTAGGGTACGGTACCATACGGTGCCTAGGGACCTGGGGTGCCAAAAAGTGATGCGGTCCCTGGTCCTCGACTTCCATGGAGAGGTTCGGATCCGCGTTGGCTTCCAACCTCGTTGGAAAACCATCCAAGTAACATATTCAACATATTCAAGTGACATGGAGCCAGTTCAAATGTATGCAATGACAAAAGGGCCAATATTCACATTTCCTTTGTGGCTAAGACAAGAGCTTCAGCTGTTCAAACACGTGAATGGTGTCATTGCCGGTCATTGCTCAACAAGCTTGGACGGAGGACTATTTACAAGAAATTACAAAGTATCAACTGGCAGATTTTGAAAAGTGGTTTCCAGAGCAACCAGGTTTCCCTAAGGGTTTTCGGAAGAAATCTGGCTAATTGACTCCATCTTCAGAAGCAAATCGTTTTATGACTGTGCATGTGCCGACCAAACGTTTGCAAAAAAGGATTGGATTTGATCTGTCAACGAGTGACCAGGAGCCAGCTTAACCCTCCAGGAGCCACAGATCCACGTTTGCTACAATTACTAACAGTTACTAACATATGGGATATCTTGGTAAATTTACACCACATGGATGATGATTTGGGATCTGGAACTGACCACAGGACTCATTCATTTCCGATCCACCAAGCAACAGCAAAACGCAGCAAACCAAGCCCCTCCAACCCTCCTTTGCCACTTTGCAGCCCGATTTCAAAAGCAATCAAACTGGAATCTACTCAGCAGTTGGCTTGAACTTTTGGCAAGCTCACATTGGTATGTTGCACCTTATTGCACTTGCAATGATGAGTGAAGGTTAATTTTTCGCAATGTGGGGTCAACACCTGCAAAATACTCTGAAAAGAGATGGACCATGGCTCAAAATTGGCCGGTTTGAACATTTTTGAAGGTGATATGACTCACTGACGTTGACCCCGTGGACCTCGTGGACCCCGTGGACCCCATGGACCGCGTGGCGGCCGTCCTTCTGCGCTGCCAACATCAAAGGAGTCTGGCCACTGACGTCGCGGACATCCACATCGAGGCCATCTGCGATGAAACCTGTGAACTCAGTGAACTCTAAAAATTGTGAACTGCTTCCGGCTTCGATGATCATTTTTTCCTGAGGCTTCCTATATGTGAAGATATCAGGGTCAATAACAATAGAAACCATACATAACCATACTTTATGATAAGGCCAATGAGGAAGCCATAATGAGACAATGTAACAGTTTTCCCATTCATCATAACACTTTCTGTAGGGCTGGTGCCTGGGGCATGTGCAACACAAGGACCACAAACCAATGGAAAATTGCAGTGCAGTCTCGGGCTATTAAAGGAATGAGACAGCGAACGGACATTCACAACAAGTATCCGAGCATCCTAGGTTTGGTCCAATGTGCTTTGCCATTGAATGGCGCTGTGGATTCTGGCGCTGTATCGGGCAAGAAACGATGCACATCTTGGGCACATCCTTGGTCCGGATGGAATATCTCCAAGCCATGAAGCTTCACGACGCATACGGCTGCACGCTACCAAGAACTTTTGCCACGAATGAGTTTGAAAATGGACCATCTTCCTCAACTTTCTCACTTTCGGGAATCTCCCTAGATGACTTGATTCTGTTTGCAGCCTCGAAAAAACATCGATATGGCCCTGGTTCCAATTGAGGATCCTTTAATCATTGTTCACATCAGCCGCTGATAGGCCCAGCATCCTTCACGAGCAGCTTGGCACAAAGGCTCCAAAGGTATTTGTGAGAATGGCACTCCTGACGCAACATGGCACAGCTCCCGAAGGGTGCCAGGATCTCAAAATGTCGAACCAAGAGAATGAAAAAAGGACGTGAACAAAAAGGATGTGAACAGGATGACGACGATGACAACGATGACGATGTCAAAAGAAACGATTTGACAGGAAGAAATCAAACTTCCCATTTCACGTTGCGCCGGAGCGGCTCCTTGTGGCCGCAACAATGGCTGCTCCCAGTCCAACGCAACCCAGGCGTTGTTCAGCTTGGTGCGAATGCGACGCCACTGCCGGTGCTCATCCTTGGCTGTGAGGGTTTGTTGTGGTTTTCATGTGGCTTGATTTACCTCCCAGTGTCATCAAACATGGCTAGGGGCAATTTTTTTACAGGAAGTTCTAATGGGAAGATCTCTTACACATACTAGATTTTCTATAGCTACGATGAATTTCCTGACTTTAGGAGAAATCTGTGGGAAACCAACATTTTTGCCTCAAATACAAGCTTGTCGAGTGAATCCGCTTTACTTCTGCGGGCGTGCGATATCCCCGTAAGCATGGCTCCCATGAGCTCCATCCATCTTGCATGCCTCAAAAAATGTGTTTTCAGCCGATTCGGGCACTGCGACCAGCAAAAGTCATGGCCCAGTTGGCATGAAAAAACATGATTCGATCTGATGAAAGGTTGGTGAGATACGTGAGATACGTGAGATACACGACTTCCAACAAATCCCATCTGTCAAGTTCCCATGCGCCAAAGATCCCAGTCAAAGAGTTCCAACACTTGACCTTTGCGCCTGCCAGGTCTGTGAGGCGTCTACATTCCGTATACCCGGTGGATGATGAGATCTACCCCTTTAGATTCAGTCTATGTAAATACAGTTAAATAATGGATTACAATCACCTATATAGTTATGTATACAAAAACACATATACATATTTGCGGATGGCTCCACCAAGATGATTCGGCCAAGCAACTTGCAAAATTGCAATGGAAAGACTTGGAAAGAATTGGATAGCATCAGTATCATCAGTAATGTTATTCATGTTATTCATATTCATAGCATTATTTGGCCGAATGCGTTCGTCCGTGAGTGTTCATATACCGTAAGGATTCCGATTATGGGATGGATCACCATAACCCGTGGGTTTACATATTTGTACATATTTACATTATTTTACATTATTTGTACATTTGTTTTCCGTGTTTTGACCATTGCTCCATATTGACGATCCAGATCTCGTCAAAGTCCCACGGCCTGGTCCCCTGCATCGGTGCTGAAGGATGTGGCGCAGTGCGGATGATCAAGCGCTCGCTGACGACCTACGGCGAATCCGCGGCATCTCCGAGCTCGTGGTTTCGCGCTGCTTCAAAGTAGGGAATAAACTAACCGTAATGGGGACATAGATAGACATAGACAGACATAGTGGGATACAAATGATATTTTTTTGGGCCCAGAAATGTTTGGGATGTATTTTGTGTACATCGTAATTGGAAATCTTTGCAGGGATCTTTACAGGGGTGTTTCATTCATGGTATTTGATGGGATGAGATGTACGGCAAAAAAAACGAGAATCTGATATTTGGGTTTGTCCAGACATGCTACGCCCTCAAAACCGTGATTTTCTTTGGAAAGAAAGTTTCAAACCATTTCATTCTGGGGAATTTTTCTGGATTCCAGGGATTCTCTGGTCTTTTGGAAGATGAATTTCTCGGGGATTTGCTGAAAGCAGTACCGAAAAGATAAAAAAATATTTCTATATCTTCTCAGAAGAGTATATAGGAAAGCTTCTCTCCACACAAAATGGCCGTGGACTGTGGCGGGAAAATTATGCAATCAGTTGGATACAAAGCCCAAGTCACAAACACAAGCCTCACCAATCGCATGGCTTGGCTATGGACAAGCAAAGTGAGCAAGGAAATGAGCCAGAAAAAAAAATCCAACGGACAAACGTCACAGATCCAGCAAACAGATGAACGTGGCCAGCACGGCTCGTGACAAACTAGAGCGCAAAAGAAAAACATGGAGCAAAAGCAGGACAAGGACCAATTATCCCCGTTGCCGCGCTCCGATTCCAAGTGGTGACTTTCAGAGGGAAAACTTAGCAAAGGAAGCTCACCAGCCACTACGAAGTTTCCAGCTCAGCTCGCCTACGCAGAGCCGCACAGGCCCGCCAAGTGCGAATGAGCGCACATGCCTCCTGGAGCAGAGTATTTCCATGGCTGGCACCAGCAGCAGTGTCAAGGTGCCTTTTCTTGTGGTTTGTGTATACCGGGGCAGCCGAGGCCCCACCCTGCGACCCCTAAAACATTTAACCGCTCTCCCGATATATTTTTGCCATGCAATGAAATTAAAGGTATATATAATATATAAAAGGTAAGCCGTATTGATATTAATCTAATAATATTATTTTGTATTGAATTTTAATTTTAGAAGTTCGATTAAATATAATTTTTTTTATTTTATAAAGAAATATTGGCAGAATAAAATAAAAGGAAAATAATTTTAATATTTTTTGAAATATTTTTAATAATTTATAAAATCGAAAAGGTTGATAATAAATTTATAATGTTTTTAAAAATAATACCCTTTGTGGAATATTTATTATATAATTATTGGAAAAATACAATAATTAATATTTTTTGTATTTTTTTTATATATATTTTTTGTTTTTTGATTTTTTTTTCTTTATATTGACGTGTGGGGTTTTTATTTTTAGTTCTGTATTCGTATTTCCTCCTTTTCCTTCCCGTCCTCCCTCCTCAATACTTATTCATACACACACATTTACTCACACTCACACACACATACACACACTCACTCACACACACACACACTCACTTACATTCACACTCACACACACACACACACTCACTCACACTCACACACATACTCACTCACACTTACTCACACTCGCTCACACTCACTCACATTTACTCACACTTACTTACTCACATACACTTACACACACACTCACTCACACTTACTCACACACACATAGCACTGCCAAAGGGTCGGATGTACGTCCTGGCGTCCCTTGGGGCTTCGCCGCTTTTGCGTGGTAGGCGTGGGATAATATGCACTGCTAAGGGGTTGGATGTATGCCTTGGCGTCCTTTGGGTCTTTGCGTCTTTTACGTGGCAGGCATGGGACAATGTACATTGCCAAGGGGTCTGATGTACGCCCTGGCGTCCCTTGGGGCTCCGCTGCTTTTGCGTGACAGGCGTGAGACAATGCGCACTGCTAAAGGGTCGGATGTACGTCCTGGCGTCCCTTGGGGCTTCGCCGCTTTTGCGTGGTAGGCGTGGGATAATAT